GATACACGAACTTCTCGACTACTTCAATCTCCTCACCATCCAGGGTGAGTACAGGATGAGAATCCTGCCAGTCTTGTAGGAGTACTTTGCACTTTGAAGGTGCAAAGCACATGCCGTACCTGTGGACACTGATTGCCAACTGATTAAGTGCAGATTGCATGCCTTGGGCATTATCGCACAGTAAGACAATATCATCCGCATACTCGAGGTCGAGAAGTCGTTCTTCAGGCAACATATCCACACCGCCATTACTTACATCCATCAGAGCTGTTTCCAGGATGTCGTCGATGGCAAAGTTGAAGAGGAATGGTGAGATCGGGCAACCCTGCCTAACCCCACTGCTCGAATGGAACAAGGGAGAAAGGTGGTTGTATGCCCTCACTCTGCCTGAGGTGTTCGTATACAGGGCCTTTAAGATGTTAATGAACTTCTCAGGCACACCCTTCTTCAATAGACAATCCCAGAGAACAGTCCTGTCCAACGAATCGAAGGCAGCCCTGATATCAAGAAACACTACGATTGTTGGCCTGCGATCAGTATGACGGTGTTCTAACATTTGGCAGAGGGTGAAGATGTGATCAATGCATCCTCAACCAGAACGAAAACCAGCCTGCTCCTCGCGAGTCAATCGTTCTCGGGGTTTAAACAACTTACGAAGAATGACAGAAGCCAATAGTTTGGACGCAATCGGAAGTAGACTTATCCCCCGATAGTTGTTACAGGAACAACGTGAACCCTTTTTAAAGATAGAAACGATTATTGACTCATTCCATGATGTCGGAACACTTTCTAGTTCCCAAACCTTTGCAAACAACACCGACAGTTCCTTTGCCAGAAAGTCACCACCATCTTTAAAAAGAGCCGGAGGTAAGTCATCTGGGCCCGGTGATTTGTAGCGCTTCAAAAGTTGGAGTTCCTTGCGGACTTCCGCCTCCTTTGGTGGATCAGTCGTCACTGGCCATGGGGGGCAAGACAAACTGGTTGATGTTGCCGGAGCAGCAGACCAGTTGGACTGCCCTTCGAAAAATTCCGCCCATCGTCCAAGACGTCGAGAGATGTTAGTGGATTGGCATCCCGTCATCCACGTAGATTGTTTCACTCACACCAAACTTCTTGCTGCCAGTGGCTTGGATGAGTTGAAAGAGCTTCCGGCAGTTACCAGATGCAGCTGCTGCTTCCATCTCATTAGCACGCTCCGACCACCAGGCTTCTCGGTCCTTACGCAAGCTTTGCCCGATTTCATTACGTAACAGCCTTCGTTTGTGGTCATACTCACGGTCACCCGGAGTAGACCGACGGGCTTCCATTAGTTGTAAGGAGCCAGAAGAAACCAGTGCTTATAAGCGGGATGTTTTGCGAAGCCGCAAGCGGTTTCACTCGCCATTTTCATGGCGTCGTGAAGATGCAACCAATGCTCATCTATACTTTTCGGTGGGATGGTAGCTAGCCTAGAAGCTAGCTCCGCTCGATACTTACTTGCAACAGAAGTTGCAGCCAGTTTACTAACATCGATACGTTGGTGGCGGTCAATCCTTCGGCCACTGAAAAGTAAGGTAAGATTGGCACAGACCAGGGCATGATCAGACTCCAGATAGGTACTCCAAAAGAAGCGGCAGTCTTGTACACAACCACGCCAGCGGTAGCTGATCGCGATATGATCAATCTGAGTCCAGGCGTGAGATGCAGAGGGAGGACGCCAGGTGGCACACCGGCGATGACTGTGCCGGAAGTTAGTGCTGGCCAGAAACAGGTTGTGGTCTGTGCACAGTTGCAGCAAACGGTCCCCGTTATCTGTCCGGCGACCAACAAGTCCCCATCGGCCAACTAAACGACTCTATTCTGTGCCTAGACGCCTGACCTGAGCATTCAAGTCTCCGGCTAATACTACAATATATGTCGAACGCGCTTTCTGGAGAAGAACTGTTAACTGGTGGTAAAACTCATCCTTGATTGCATCCGGGCTGCAATCTGTCGGGGCATAGGCGGAGATGACGAAAAGACACCGTTTCTCACGCCGATTTCTTCTCACTTTGATGGAACTTTCTAATCTAACAGAACATAACCGACTTTTAATGGGGATCCAATCGATTAGTGCTGCCTCAGCCTTAGCGCTTAGTGCAACACCAACGCCTGCAAGACCAGACGAAGATGCCACAGAGTCCCCGGATAAGCGCACGTGAAACAAGCTTTTCGAAGCGACAGATGAAGAGCGAATTCGTAGTACTTCACTAGAGTCTTGAATACGGGTCTCGGATAGACAACAAACATCAACATTAAGACTTTCTAAAGACATAGCCAGCCCCATCTGTTGTCCGATCTGCATTAGTGTGCGAACGTTGAAGGAAGCCAGCTTGAACGGCGTACGTGGTTTCAGAAAGACTGCTTCAGTATTCGTAATCGGTGGAAGCATTCACTTTCAACCAGACAGTGACTGGAGATCGTTTAGATAGGACAGATTTTCCACCATGAGCGAGCTACTGCATAAGTTGGAAAGGAAGGATACACAATTTGGGAATAACGGGAGTGAAAAAGCGACGTAGTAAATAATAGTAATAATAATAATAATAATAATAATAATAATAATAATAATAATAATAATAATAATAATGGTAATAGTAATCATAATAATAATAATGTAAATTGTCTTTCTTCTATTAGGAACGAGAGCAGTGTAGTTAGTGTAGTGAGTCATTTCATGTCATTTGTGTGTGGGCTGTGATACTGCCCGGGTGCCCAAACCGAAGCAGTGAAATAGGAACAATAACGGGGCGGACTTGCATCCATATAGCAAACAATTCTCTTTGAACCTAGCACACAACAATACTGTCATGCACTGTCCCATCGCCCTTGGCAGATCAGGCAACTCGAATGTCACGAGAACACCATCAGGGCATACGACAGGCTAGGTACCCCACTTGTGATTACTACATCTAAGCGTTTAGCTTTTAGAAGATGGGAATCTTTCTATAAAATTTGTATTTCACTTTATCTGAGCTGAATTGAGTGAAACCGTATGGAGGGGGCTGAACGAAAAGGTAGTGACATGTCCCTATCTTTTCCATTTTTTACTGTCCTGTTTAATCGGACAGCGCACAAGCGACTGTTTATCATAACCCTGTTTAAGAGACCATGTTCTGTCTTTGAACTTAGCGCTATACCACAAGGTCACAAGAAGTAGCTGTCGAGCTCCCAGATACATGGGGGACAAACTGAGTTGGTCCCTTATACTGACTAGGTGAGGTCAAGTGAATAACTGTGCTTCTATCCTGCATGGATGTTCGGGAGACACGACGAACGGCGATAGTGCGAGATGCCAAAGTCCTTGTTAAAGAAGCCTGTTGTTCGATTTAACATAAGATCCAAACATTGGAAGTTGTGAATAGCAGAAGTTTTGGAATTTTAGTAGTTCCATGTAATTAGATTTTTTAAATAAGTCAAAACACGATAATACGTGTATAAAAGTGATGCTGTTTAGGTGCATACAAGTACAAAATAAACGAAATATACAAAAACATATCAATGATGCACTTTTCAAACAACACAGACAGCACTCTTTACCAATATCTCATAGAACCAAACAGCAGAACAAGGAGTACTTAAGTAGATAAGAAATATGGACTATTTACTTGCTAAGAAAAAAGGGTGTTTCTATTAAGAGAAGTGATTATACCCTGGAAAAATAAATTAACGCAACCAACTCGGAACCCAATCAAGAAGAGGGAATAAACTTCTCTGGAGATATAGACAGTCATACTATAGGAGTTGATCGTGGGGACAAGAGAAATATTAGGATGTGTCGACGGAATTTCGTCGTGAACAAGGTGGTCACGGGCTCTGTTGGAAGTATGAGAGAGACTGGCACTTCTCGGTTTCTCGCACTGTAAAACAACAGTTGCTCTTGATGTCTGAAAAGAAGACTGGATTAGTCGTGGTCTTAGCATACCAAAAGTAAAACCATAAAACCTAAAAAACGACTGCATCAGACCGATCAAATAGCCTTTTGGTGTTTGGCCTGTGAGAAGTGGGATCCCTTACTTTGAAAGTCTTTCAGCCATGGGTGGAAACCCGTGCAACAGTTTTAGAGTGAACCCTTCCTAATCCGTTTCTTCCGTTTTGACGTGGTTTAAGAAAAACACCATAGTACCGCTACACTTCAGTACAGACAGCAGCAAGCAATCACTATAGGACCTCAAGTCGCTGCTTTCAGTCTTATGGTTCTCCGACCGAACTCTCTGACGTGGTACGACCTACAGAAATAACCATTTCAAGTCAGCATAGCTCGATTGAACTATCGCGATATTTTATTTTATTTAAACACATAAATATTGGTACAAGGAAGCACCAGACACATATGCGCCATAAAAATCACATTCGATTTGTGTGAGGGCTGTGATACTGCCCAGGTGCCCAAACTGAAGCAGGTGGTTTTCTTAGGGGCCCACACCAGGAGCCTTTGACCGAAAGATCTGATCCACAATGCAGTGGAGCATCGTGAGGAGATGCAGTCCCATGGTAGCCGGTGATCAACGCTTGATTCATACGCCATTTGTTCCCTCAGGATACTGGAGCCCATGTGCACCATTGGTTTGGAAACAGGGTTTTCCAACTCCCCTAGGTGGACTCGCCTTGTCCACCAACCCGGTTAAAGCACCGGACATTCGCTTTTCGTCCTCTCAATTTTGTAAACAACACCCGTGGCACGAGAAGACAGTGAGTAGGACCTCTCTGGCAGAGGCTATATATTCGCTGGCCATGTGAGAGCGTTTCGAGAGGGAGAGCGGACTCTCCCCACTCTCGGCCGTACCAGGGCATTTGGGGCTAACTATCGCGATAGGCAAGCCCGAACACTACAACAATGTAGGTACCAACTAAAATCGGGATGTAACTGCACTAGTAAACGATTAAAGTGAAAAAGTATTTGAACAATTTAGATGGCACTAGAAGGAAAACAACGAAGGACGATAAAAATACAAAAACACTGGTACTGGTTTTGACCATACCTTTAATCTTCCTCGTATTACCATTGCTAGACCCGCTGCGCCTAAAACTCCAAAGGCGATTAATCCCAATTTTGGGGATGGACGTAAATACTCTGCATACGAAACTTGGGCTGAAAATTGGTGTTGCAATGCAGGATCGTGCTGAAAAATATAACAAACGTAGAAAAATTTAAAAAAATCGAACAACCTTCATACACTCATTAAGTTATGATACATGATATCTTAAAGATAACTGCCTTAAGTGAATACCATTCTTACAAAAGTACTTACAGTGAAAAATCCCGAATATCTTGAAAGTGAATAAGAAAAATTGTCAACCCAACCCTGAAACCCTACTTTTCCGCTTTTTTTCAGTTCGAAGACCAACAAATATTTTCTTAGAAATAAATGATTAACTGACGGTGTCAAACACCATAAAACACAAATCTTAATAGAAAGCTTGAAGGTTTGAGTATGAGAGCTAAAAAACCTATAACAACAAGTTGAAACTAAAATTCCAAAATAAGTAACTACCTTTGAGTAGCAATTTCAATCAGTAATACTGAATGATGTGTCAAAAGTCTGACGCTTTGAAGGCGTGTAGTATAGTACTTACCACATATATTCCCATGACTAGACAACAAACATAGATTAACGCTGTGTCTCACATCAAATATTTACCAGCATTGGTCCTATCAAACAAAATAAAGGCAATCTTAATATTAAACACAAAAATCTATCATCTGCGAATTGTGGAGACTTAATTACTCTATCTGCAAAGTTTTTATTTTGTAATAGTTTTTGCTCAGTATGTAGTCAGCATCCTAATTAGTAATAGACTCATTTTCAACCACATGTCCGTAGTTTACTGTCTTGTCTCCATCAATAAATACACAACCAAACGACTTTACATATGGCTATTTGTAAACCAGAAGAATTTGGTAAATGAATAAAATGAAGTTGATTCTATTAGTATAGTCCTCAAAGTACGGAGAATGACAATTCGCGCTGCTACTCAGCGTCGTGTAAGAAGTAATAATGATTTAACCGAGGGACATTAATTTAGAGCAGGTTACTTATGTCACAGACTATTGCAACAGATTGAGCTGCAGCTAGGAATATAAATACATCCATAGATATAGAATCTATGAATCTTAATTTAGCTGTTGATAAAGTCTCTCATATAACGCTTAAAATTAGGCTGGAAAATTTTGGAATTAAATGTAAAATTAGGTGAGTGGACAACTTCTTTATAAATACACACCGAAATGGTAGCAAATAACAATCTATCGTGATGGAATCCAGCGAAGAATGATATATCTCAAGGGAGAACTTCATATCCTTTTCTATTTCTGTGACCTACCAGCGTTCATAGACTCATTCATATTAATGTTTGCACATATTAAAAACCAGGAGCAGTGAATGAATGAACCAATCATATTTCGTTATGAAAATCTATTCTTACACTATAGCTAATAGCAGTTCGTAATGAAAGCCCTCACGATTTCATAAATAAACAATTTCTTTACTGGCCAGAAACTGATTTAAGGTTGTCCATATGCCACACTTCCACTAGAAAAAACCATAACGACAACAAGATATCGTTACAAGTCAGATCAAACACACCAATTGGCTAGATAAATCGATGACCCTTAGCGGGGGTACAAGTAAATGTGTTGTAACCTGAATCAACCATAAAATATTTTAATCTCTCCATACCATCTTACTATAGGATCTAATATTATATTAGGGTATCGTAGGATGAAGGATACTTTGACACCAACCTATCAATAGAGACGAAATCTTAAGGAGGTTCAAAAACCTGAACCAAGTCGTTTATGCATAGAAGTTTGTCTATTTTGCACTGAGTAATGAACTGCTGTAATTCTCTGTAAAATCAGCTACTTTAGGCACATATTGGTGACTTAAGTCGAGACTATATCTCCATAGTACTAAAAACTCTAGGCATTAACATGGACCACTTTTCATCCGAACTTTCTTACTGACGATCAAAGGTGGAAAGCTTGTGTGTTTTAAACAAAATATATGAGAGCATACATATGATGAGGCGCTCCCTTGCAGACTCCTCTCAAACAGGGCGAGATCTCTGAAGCATGCTTGAGCAGGAACTCAGTATAGAAGTAAGCAAACGCAAGTAGGTAGGTATGAGAAAGGCTTGAACGGAACATAGAACTAACCAGGTAAGAAGCGAAAGTTAGCACTGAGTCCTATGAGTGAAACGAAAGGATTTTGCACTACATTGCAAATTGCAAATCTCTTAACGATAAGAAATGGCCACCAAGTGGTACTCAGAATAATCCTTAAGCTATAAGTCTTAATACATTACTAAACTTCAAGATAATTGATTCTCTACTGGAGTTAAAAACGTAGCATGAACCTGCAGTATTCCGTCGAAACCAATGACCATCAAATGCACACTGTGAACATCCAATGAAGGATGAGAAACGAATTATGTATATCCTTACCGCTCCTAACCCACATATGTCATATCATTCAGTGATCTGATGTATACATTATTCAATATTACGTCTCTTTTATCAAAACTCCCGAGTACCAACTTCAAGACTCTTCTTGGTTGGGTCTCGCCTCCAACCCATTTACCGAGTCTTATTACTCTCGTGATATGTACCCCTGGAACCTCTTCAGGCAGTACATTTCCGATGACAGATTCCACTAACTCCAGATCGTATGCAGGTCTTCTAGGAGGGTCATTGTCTTCCGACTGTCATCTCTTGTGGACATTATTTCAAGATTGCTCGCGACGCTCTTCAACACGTCCCTTTCACTAGCTCAACTCCGTAGATATTGCAAAGATGTTATAATCAGTCCTATATTAAAGGATGATCAGAGACAGGTCGTATCTAATTACCGACCCGTCAGTCTAACCAGTATGGTCGTTAAGTTACTTGAAAAGATAATTCGGGTTAAGTTACTAAGTCACACAGATTCGTACAATCTGTTAGATCTGGAGCAACATGGGTTTCATAACAAGCATTCGTGCTTGACTTACTGAGAAAGGATTAGACAGCAGCCCTAAATAACGGTCTGTCTGTCGATGTGATATTCATAGACTTTAGCAAAGCGTTTGATAAGGTTTCACACTTGGGTCTTACGAAGCTCTCGAACTTCGGAATAGCAGGTGCTGTACAGAAATTGAAAGGAAACTTCTTATGTGACCGCAGACAAAGAATATGAGTCAATGGAACGCTATCCAAATGAAAGCCAGTCAGAAGTGGTGTACCACAAGGCATCACCTTAGGCTCTCTATTTTCCCTTCTCTACATTAATGAATTAGCGCCACTGCTTAAGTCGTCGACATTATTGTCCGCGGACGATGTCAAAATCTGAAGAACAATAAGAAGTGAGGCTGATCATTTTGATCGACAAGGTTACTTAAACGAACTAGTTAGATATGCTCGAGGCTGGGGCCTAGAATTTAATTTTACGAAGAGTGCTCATGTACATCGGACACGGTAATAGTTACCATTATACTATTGATGGTACATCTCTTCCACGCGTTCAAGAACATAGACTTAGAAGCAATAATAAGTCCGGGCAGCTAGCTCATGTCTGATTAAGGATACTAACTCACTTGAGCATGCTCACCGTGTGGGAACAAAATTAGTGAAGGGTCTTTCTAAACCCCCTTACGACGAGCACCTAAAACGCTTAAACCTTTTCCCCTTGTCGTATCGTAAAACGCGAGGTGACCTTGTACTGGCATCGTATATCTTTAATTACGATTTGGGTGTTAAACTGTTTTATCATTTCGCTTTCTCCAACACTAAGAATCTCCGAGGTCATAGCAAGAAGGTTCACAAACCGCAACCTAATAAACTTGAAGTGGGGTTCCATTTTTCTCATCGAGTGATCAATGACTAAAACGCCTTACCTGAACAAGTGGTGTCAGCCCCATCAGTGAACATTTTCAAGGAAAAGCTGTACCTTCACTGGAAAGCAAACTGTCAGGGTTACCACAGGTCAACTAACCTACTATCCTTATTACTGAAGACTGATACATGTCTACACATCATTCGGTCACTACTAGGTTCATAACCCACTCATATATGATAGTGAAAAAGTAACACAAAAAACTTCAAAGACTTCAGAATTTGAGGAGTTAACGCTTAATATTGTCATAATACTAAAATGTTTACCAAATGACCGATTGGGGGGTTGAATGGATTTGTATATCGTTTCCTGTACTCAGCCTTCATTGCATCTCTTATTTTCGCTCTTTCTTTTATGGCAGCCTGCTCTTCTGAGGTTTCATAAAAAGTATTCCATGGGTTGAAAACAGAATTACTGCTTTTGGCCATCAGTGTAACGCACAACTGAAAGTACCACAAAAGCAAAACTCAAACTTCAAGCATTGTATAGTAAATTTTGCGAATTATGTATCCTTTCGGACCTGTGTCTGGGTAGTTACAAGCATTCCTATGTATTGATACTTAGTATTATTGGTATGTATCTCACCTGAAGACGAAGGTTAAAAGTAATGGTATTTACTGATAATATTTTCAAGTGTAACAACTGAAGTAATCTTCAATATCGACAGAACCAAAGTAAAAGTCCAGTCTTCTTTTAAAAGATCCATCTGAATATCCCCTCACTCTTTCTTCTAGAAGGGGATTTCATAACACTTATTTAAATAGCAAAGAAGATTGCACAAAAAAAACACAGAGAACCATGAAGTTATTGCCACCTCAGAAACATGGTTAGTGTTAATGGTGTATGATAATGAAGTTCATTTGCTTGGTTGCTTACCTAGTAGGGCTGGTAGACTATAATGTGGAAGTGGGGGGTTTGTCCTGTGCAAGAAAAGTACCTTAACCATACAAGCTGTCGAAACAGTGGCATTCGACTCTGAGACATGTGAACTGGTGCTCTGCAGGATGAAGTGTAAGTCATAATATATTTGATTAGTCGTCGTAAACCGCAATCCGAAATGTGATGGATGGCTTTTCACTAAGCGAACTCAAATCCTGGTGCAAGAGGGGTAAAAGCCTTACGGTGGGTGACTTAAATGCGCCGTCTGTAAATTGGGGTAACTTAGAAGTAGAGTCATCAACATCATTTTATCTTAAGTTGTTGGAAACCACAATCATCCTAGCTTTATTCCAACACATTGAGGATCCCACTATATATGACCTACAATCTTCAAACACGGTGTTGTCAGTCAAATAACTTTCTTCCCATCTTTAGGGAGAAGAGATCATGAGGTCATTCCATTCAAATTAATGGCTGAGATGGCCTTTCAAGCAGTTGCGCCTACTCGTCCTAACATATGGAAGGCAGACATAAAGGCGATTAACTCCGCAGCCTCGGCTGGAAACTGAATAACTGATTCAGGAGCATCGATAGAATAAGCATGGACTCATTTTAGGCAGTTATGCAATCAAGTATTTCAACCTTTTGTGTCCTAAACAGTCCTAAAGTAGAAGAGGCACAGTCATCTCTGGATAGACCTGGATATTCGACCTTTCCTAAAACAGAAGAAGTAATGGTTAGACACCGCCATCAGCCTTGGCACAGAAAGGACGATGGAACTCTGCAGGTCGGTACGAAGTAAATGTGTAATTACAATCTCGGAAATATGGAAAGCAGTTGGCAAAATCTGTAATCAAGCAGCCCAAGAGACTATTTTCGTACACAAATTACAGAACAGGGACGCACCATTGGATTCTCAACCTAATTACCGAAGGGAGTGGATCTCAAATGATAGGGGATGATAAGGAAAAAGCAGAGGCTATGGCAAACTATCTCGGGACAGTTTTCACTCAAAAGCCTTCTCTTGATGAGGAACCAGACCCAAATGCAGAGTCAAAATGTCGTCTGCTCATTGTAGACTTCGATCAAGATGATGTACTTAAGGTTCTTAGCACCTTACACACGGTAAAGTCAACAGGACCGAATGAACTGCACGATGAAATCTTGAGACAAACTGCACAAAATATTGCTGCCCATGGACTACGACATTCAATATGTCAATTGGCCAATGTGAGTTACCGATGAACTGGAGGAATGCAGTTGTCACTCAAAGACATAAAACAGGATCAAGACAACTCCCATCAAACTACAGACCTGTCAGCCTAACCAGTTTAGCATTTAAAATACTGGAAAGAATAATCGAAAAATTTGGCTAGAAATCGCAAGGGACGCAGATGCATGCACACTTCGAACAGACATACATATTCTGATTAGCTCATGTGAGAAATGACTGGTGTCTATCAACCTAGTCAAGTGTATCTACGTACACCCTGGAGATAAAAAGGGAATTGTCAGTACTCGTAGTCCAATCCCACAAGAATCTTGGGGTGACAGTGAGCCATGATCGTAAAATCAAGGCCCACTGTCGAGAGTTCGCAGCTCAGGGGTTTTGAACCCAATGGGCTTTGAGACAGACATTCGCCAAGTTAGATACTACTATGCTCACTACGGTATACACAACCTTAGTGGGAACTAAGCCTGAAAGCTGAATTCAGGCTGCTAGCCCCAGATTAAAATGTGACTCGGATATCCCGGAAAAAGTGCAGAGGGCAGCTATACATGCACTTCCAGGACTCCGGAGTTCACCATATAAGGAGAGTCTTGAGGGGCTGGAACTGTACTTCGTCTTGCCGCAGATTAAGAGGTGATCTGTTTTGATGTATAGAATATTAAAAAATGATTTTGGACCTGATATATGCTTTCTTTCTCTTCCTATCAGGTTAGGACAACTCAGAGGATATGGTAGGCGATTAGAATGGCCAAGAATGAACAGAAAACCCATGACATGCAGGTTTTCACACCAAGTCATCTATATTCTGAACCTGTTACCCGAAGCAGTCGTACCCGATCCTTCAATTGACTCATTCAAAAGAAGACTAGGCACTCACAGAAGCTTACTAGAAAAGAACTAACATAAGCCGTAGGTCGTCGATCTTCACCATACGAGTCTGAAATATAAGTCTGAATCTGAATTTATATATGAAATTCTTTATGTTCTATACTAAATTTGTGCCTTCTTAAATGTGTTGTAGCACTGAATCAAATACGTGATAAAAAAGGATCATGGGCAATTTCATACATCAGCATCATATAACCTCCAATCCTCTGTACTGCGCAGGTTGCTAGTTTAGAGCCACCAAACATGCTTACCAGGGTCAATCTTCCACTCTACGAACCTTCACGGTTTCTATCCTCCGCGCTAGTCGTAAGGTTACTATGTCTTTCTTAAAGCTAGGAGGCGCAACGTAGATGTTTTCCAGAAAAGGATTTGGATAATCACCGAGAGCGGTTCTACGGGAGTCTTAGAGGAGACCTAATGACATGCAACATTCTAAACACTTCAGAACATCCACTTAAATACCTATTTAGGCCCGTTCCCAACTCAAAACGTAGGGGTGACGCCCAGAAACTGAAGACAATGGAAAGCGGAAGGGACTGTAGGGACACCTACTCCTCAAGAATAGTCAAATGCTGGAATTCACTGCAGCCTGAGCTAGTCCAAGCTGCTTTCCATGTGCTCTTAGGCTGAAACTTGACATGATCTTAGCGAAAAAGGACAGTATCTTGATATGATTTTCTAACATTTTTTTCTCCCTTATCGTTAAATATATTAAAGTTCCTACCTAGAAGCATCGGTGATCCATAGCTACTAGATACAATGTAGATAAATCCACTTTTGTCAACATTCAGTGACAGATTCCAAGACACAGTCCATTCGCATAACTTGTCTACGTCTTTATGGATTACCGCTGGAATATTGTTTGCTTTGGTAAGAGACGAGAAGGAATTACCCACTTTTAGATTATCGGCAAAAAGGAAAGGTTTGCCGTGTTGAAAGAGCCAGTCAGCCAATCAGCTACAATGTAGGACCAGTCACATATATGCATTGGAAGTAATAGGATAATGGAGTGTCATCACCGTCCACTATTAGGACCCTCTATTTGTTGGCATTGGAATGGGGTGAATTATTATTGGTACAACCGTATACCTTATCCAAGGTTTCGTGAAGAGGTAAGGTTTCAGATAGATCTGGCATTTGTCTCAAACTTCTAAAATCGTTTGCGTAAAGCAGAGTATGGAAGTCCAAGGCATCTTGTAAATCGTTAATAGACAATAAGAATACGAGTGAGCCAGGTATTGAACCTTATGACACTTTTTTCATCTTCAAGATCGAACTAGACTAGGTATCGCCCAATACAATGGATCTCGATCTTCTAATCAATTGCGTATTTCTTGGCAGCCTAAATCTCTTTATATAGCTATGGATTCACTTAAGAATATTCAGAAACCGAGATGCTAGTTGTTTTGGGAAGACGTGTATTATGAATAATTAACTGAATTCATAGGTACATGATGAGTAAGCACACTGGGGAGCAGGTGATGGCGGGAATGAATGTGCTTTTTATGAGTCGGGATCAATAAGTTAGTAAAGTTATTGATTGTCTGTGTTTGCCACCAATAAGAAAACAGATACTGGTTGGAATGCAAATATCCGTCCAATTAAACTGGCACACTTTGTATATATAATGGATCGAATTTCTATATTACAGCAAGGAGGTAATGCAAATATGATGGGCTTTTCTTGGTCTCTCTTATGTGACCATGTAGAATAGATCACAAAAACGAACAGTTGAAGGAAACTTGCCATGCATCTATTATCGTCTGTTGATTTACGCTAAGGGGAAGAATATTCGGTGGTCAACTACATCGAATTCATTAGAGAAGCCTGGGAGCTCTACCTAAATAGGTGGTTACGTTTCAGTGACAAGGTTCAAGTATTTCAATCAGCCAACGGTTTTTTATTACTAGGTCTACCTGGTACAAAACCATGCTAGCATTAGTGTGCAACAAGGTTCTTAAAAGCCCTCATCAAGGCTTTGGGATCTGAGAGGAGCACTGAAATCAGTAAATAATAGGAAACTGTCACTGTGATCCACTGTTATAATAAATCTTCTTACTCTTATTAGGTTATGTGGTCATAAAAAGACTTCGAGATTATGGTCGTAACGTTGGCTACACAAAACAGGGGACGACTGAAGATTAACACACAAGCATTTCAACGCTCAAAAGTCTGAAATAAGAAACCCATTTTCCACATAAGTAACTCCTGGTAATGCCGGGTTTTATTTTATCAGCGGATTATTGATCGTCTATTCACCATTTCTTTACTTCCACCTTTGTCTACGGTTTTTTTCGCGATTTATGTCTAGCCAGCGGGTCCTATGTTTACATAGAAGCGTGAGTGCGGTGAGCTGGGATGGAGAACAAATGAAAAGGTAAGTGTACGACCCATCAAGCTTACGTAGTCCACTTACATTTACCACAGAAA